CATGGTGTTTCTAGTGTGTCTCTAGTGTACCTTAGAGTAGACGCTTCAATAGATGCCTCAGGTAATCATGAATCGTGCCTGCCTGATCTGCTCGTCATTCTGTGCTCATTATGAAAACAGAGAAAGAGGAAAGCGCGGTGGCCGACCCCCCCCGGGTTCAGGCTTTCAGGCCCGGTTCCGGCTTTTGTCTTGATTGGGGTTCTGGCCAGTGATACCGGTCCCCCGTTGCGCAAAGGCGACACAGAGCTTCGACTGAAAGGAGACCACACAGTCTTCCTCACTTTGGTCTTGTCTTGTCTTCTTGCCAAAGCCCTTTCTCACAGTCCTGTGCCTGGCTAGGTGCATCGCTGTTTGTCTCCTTTGCCAGTCAGCGATCAACGACCTGGATACGTACTTTAAGAGCGCAACATAATCAGTGGAATCTGCCAACGTATACAAGTGTCCGGCTTTCTCTACACGAGACCACAGTTCTTGAGGGCGTCTCTATCCTTGGCTCTTGCAAGAAGGGGCGGAAGCAGAGAAGGAGAGAAAGATTGGGAATAAGCGCAATACCGCGAAGCAGATGCCTGTACCCTTGTCCTGGCTCGGCATTTGCGTTTCCCTCTGAGGGCTAATCTCTTTCTTATAGACATCGCACGAGCATTGAATCTTCGACAATGTCTGGCGGAGTGCGCGAAATTCAGGAGGAGAGAGTCGCGCCCTCCTCTTCTTCCAACGACGGCGAGAATGTGATCCAGCACCATGTTGACAAGTCGGCACAGGGGTCTTCAGGCTCGGATCCTTCTGCTCTTGAAACTCAGAAGGCCACGACCCTGCAGGCAGACGACGAAACCGAGGGTGAAGCTCATTCGGCCTTTAGTAAGAATGAGAAGCGCTTCATCGTCTTCATGATCTCCATGGCGTCATTCTTCTCTCCCCTGTCCGCCCAGATCTATTTCCCCGTCATGCCGACGCTTGTCAAAAACTACCATCTCACTACTGCCTTGATCAATCTCACCATCACCACGTACCTGATCTTGCAGGGTCTGGCTCCGAGCTTCATCGGCACTTTCGCCGACTCAGGAGGTCGTCGTCCGGCATACATTCTTGCTTTCACTGTCTACCTGGCTGCGAACATCGGACTCGCGTTGCAGAATAGCTACGCGGCGCTGATGGTTCTTCGCTGTATCCAAAGCGCAGGTAGCAGTGGCACCATTGCCTTTGGCTACGGGGTTGTAGCGGACATTGCAACGGCGGCGGAGAGAGGAAGCTTCATTGGACCTGTGTCCGCGGGTGTAATGGTGGCGCCGGCTCTTGGGCCAGTCATTGGAGGTATTTTGGCGAAGTTTCTCGGTTGGAGAAGTGTTTTCTGGTTCCTGGTCATCATCAGTGGTGGCTACCTGGTCGTGTTCATGATCACGATGCCTGAGACCAATCGCAATATCGTCGGGAATGGCAGTGTCCCTCCCAATCAATGGTGGAGGATGTCTCTCATTCAGTACTTGGCCGCACGCCGCCGACTAAAGAAGATGACAGCCGAAGAACGTCTCGCTCATCAGGAGCAGAGAGCCAATCTCAACCAAGCACGCGAACATCACAAGCTTTCGTTCCCGAATCCACTCAAAGCCTTCGCGATCTTGCTGGAAAAAGATGCATTCATCGTGGTCTCCTACGTCGGATTGGCCATGTTGGCTAACACTGCGCTCTTGACAAGCACACCCAACCTCTTTGGCAAGCTCTATGGCTTTAATGACCTTCAAATTGGTCTTTGCTACATGTAAGTGCAACCTATTGATCCGCTCCTGGGAATGGCTTGTCAGACAACCAGAGATATGCTGACCATATCTGTCTCCTGAAATCATAGCCCTCTCGGAGTCGGTTCATGCATCGCAGCCATTCTCAACGGCAAGGTGCTGGATTTCAACTATCGTCGCATTGCTCATAAAATAGGCATGCCAGTGGATCGGAAGAAGGGTGACGATTTACGGGGCTTCCCTATCGAGAAGGCACGTCTACAGGCTTTCTTTCCCCTCATGGCTCTCGGTGTAGCTGCCTTCATCCCGTACGGCTGGGTCCTTCAGCAGGGAGCGCCGCTGGCGGCACCCCTTATCCTGCAGTTCATCATCGGATTCAGCTTCATCGCCTCCCTCAATACACTGAACACACTCATGGTGGATCTGTTCCCAGACCGAGCGTCTACCGCGTCTGCGGCATCCAACCTCGTTCGATGCTGGCTGGGAGCCGTCGGTGCCGCTGTGATTGACCATATGCTCAGCGCCATGGGCTGGGGCTGGTGCTTTGTCTTCTGGGGCTTGTTGATGCTGGTTGGCCTAGGCCTGCTGTGGGTGGAGTACCACCACGGCATGAAATGGCGACTGGCAAGGCTCACCAAGCTGGATCAGAAACAGGTGGAGAAGGAGACTCAGAAGGCCGCAAGCGAGAACAAGGAGGCGCACGGAGATGAGAACGAGGCGAATTCGGACAATTAAATTGAGATCTTTTCTGATTGACGTTTGCTTTGACACAAAACGACTTTTAAGCCGCAAAAGGTGGGAGAGCAGCGAATGTGTCGAAATATGGTTGCTTTTTCTGCCTGTCAGACACGATGATATTGTCTAATTTGCTTCAAGAGGTTGATTGGTTTTCTTGCTAGCTATGCAACCTTTACAAGGAAGAGATAAAGAACAGTTGTTGCAGCTACAGCCATCTATCTGTAGCAGGACTATGGGGATACTCTGTCTTGCTGGATAGCTTTTCTCCTCAGACATTACGTAACCGACCGCTTATCTACTCAATTACGACTGTTCAAAAGATCCAAAATACTTCAACATATGAGATTATTCGAACTGCTACCAGAAATCTGTACATGACTGAACGTAAACACAGCAGAAGGAGGAAAAAAGAAAGATAGAGGTTATACGCGGACATGAAACACAAATCACTCCATGGCTTTGCGACGGGCGGGTCTAAGGATGTATGTTTACCATATCTTTTTGATATCCCGGTTATGGTTGTGTGAAAAAGTTAGGCGGGCGGGAAATGAGAACCATTTTTTATCGTCGCGGGATAAGATCAAGATGAAAAAAAGGTATGGAATGGTTCATGGTAGTTTTACATGCCAGGGGAGATCAACTTGCCCTCGGCCTTGCTATCCGGGTGCCAGCCACCAGCAAAGGGCTTCGCGCCCAGCTCGCGCTCGTATTCCTTGATTCTGGCCTCCAGCTCGGGACGGAAGTGCCGGATGAGACCCTGGATGGGCCAGGCGAAGGCCTCGCCCAGGGCGCAGATGGTGTGGCCCTCGACCTGCTTGGTGAGTTCCTGGAGCATGTCGATCTCGCGCTCGCGGGCCTGGCCCTTCTCCATGCGCTCCATCATCTGGGCGGTCCACTTGCTTCCCTCGCGGCATGGGGTGCACTGGCCGCAACTCTCGTGCTTGTAGAACTTGGACAGACGGGAGATGGCGCGGACGATGTCGGTGGACTTGTCCATGACGATGACGGCGGCGGTACCCAGACCGGTCTGGGAGTCCTTGAGGGAGTCGAAATCCATGATTTGGTTGTCGCAGACGGACTTGGGGATGACGGGAGTGGAGGAGCCACCGGGGATGACGGCGAGGAGGTTGTCCCAGCCGCCACGCACACCACCGCAGTGACGGTCGATCAGCTCACGCAGGGGGATGGACATCTCCTCCTCGACCGTGCAAGGGTTGTTGACGTGACCAGAAATACAGAACAGCTTGGTACCGGAGTTGCGCTCGGCGCCGAACGACGAGAACCAGCTGGCTCCGCGACGCATGATGGTAGGACAGACGGCAACAGTCTCAACATTGGTGACGGTGCTGGGGCAGCCGAACAGACCGACGGCGGCGGGGAAGGGGGGCTTCAGGCGAGGCTTGCCGGCCTTGCCCTCGATCGACTCGATGAGAGAAGTCTCCTCACCACAGATATAGGCACCCATTCCGCGGTGGATGTAAACATCGAAGTCGTAGCCTGTGCCGCAGGCGTTCTTACCGATGAGGCCAGCCTGGTAGGCTTCGTTGATGGCCCGCTGGAGTACGGTTGCTTCATGGTAGAATTCGCCACGGATGTAGATGTAGGCGGCGTTGGCGTTCATCGCACGACCGACAACGAGGCAACCCTCGATCAGCTTGTGGGGGTCCTTGCGCATGATCTCACGGTCCTTGCATGTGCCCGGTTCACCCTCATCGGCGTTGACAACCAGGTATCGGGGTCTAGGATCCTTATCCCAGTCCTTGAAGTTCATGAAAGACTAATGCAGATAAGAGAATTAATGGGTTTCCCGAGGCTCCCTGTAATGGCACGGTGGAGGACTTACGTATTTCAAACCAGAGGGGAAACCGGCACCACCACGACCACGCAGACCAGAGGCCTTGATCTCGGAAATCAGCTGCAGAGAAGTTAAGCACAACATATTAGCCTCGAAGTCCAGTATAACCCCGCAAAACGAGTGCATGGACACAAAATGTCCTCGGTGGCTGCAAAGGACAAGCGTACCCAGTCATGACCCTTCAAAACAATATCCTTAGTCCTGTGCCAGTCTCCAAACTTCATTGCCGATTTCAAATCAGCGCCATGATGTCCGTAAAGATTTGTGAATATCCGGTCCTGGTCCCGCAGGCCGCCATGATGCCGTACGGGGTGTGTGGTGTCCTGGACACTGGCGAAGGAGCGGGCAGCCGAACCCTGAACGCGGAGAGAGCGGGAGGAGAGGTTGGCGATTGAGGAAGGCGACGGAGCCGCCGCTCGAGATATCATGGTGGTAGATGGCCCAATTGCTGGGATTTGACGGGGGATAGAGGGATTGTCTCGAGGAGAGAGGTGGAAGGGTCAATTGGGAATGATCACCGTCGTTGAGCTTCACGGCGCGGCAATTCCTGCGCTTGCTGAATATCCGCCTTTGGCTACCCGCTGATTGGTCAACAACAGTCACGTGTTCTACGCTTAGTCATGTGTGCGTTACCAAGATTTCCAGCATCCTTGATTCTGGGTTTCCACTACGATCTACTGCGGAATATACAGATACGTCACTGTAGACAGCATCACCGAGCCTTGACCTGGTCCTCCTAGTCGTAACAAGGCCAAGGGATCTTCAGGCGCCTGCACACATTCCTCCTCTGTAGCCATCCAGGCCCATCGCAACCAGTTCGGAGAGAGCCACCAGTTGTCCGTTTTCCAGTCTCCGGTGAACGAAGCTAGATTCGAGAAGATGTCTGGATTCTGATCTCTCATCTGGTCGAGCATGTCGTCGAACAAGCTGACCATCTTTTCATCTTCTTCATCCTCCAGCATCCATGCCACATCTTCTGGGGGCGGTGGATACTTCTCAAGCAGAAAGCTAGCCCATTTAGACAGTCTTGCGGAAAGTTGTGATTTATCAGCCGATGTGTTCTTGTGAGTGGCAACCACGAAACACAAGAACATTGGGAAGGCAAAAGGCGAATCCTCGTCGCTTCCTTCTAGCACTGGTATTGTCTCTTCAGAGTTTCTCAAGACCTCTTGGAAGAACACTTTGCAAGGCCGTTGTATCTCAGCAGGAAGGACGCTGGACAGTTCTTTCAAGGTAAAAAGTTCGCCGTTGTTCGCAAGGAGCGATTTCCGTTCAAGAATTCTGACTTGTATACGGGACTTGACCTCGTCGGAGAAATTCTTCGCAGGTAAACGAGCCATATGAGCGCTAAGCAAACGCTTGGTAGCTTCCCAGCTTCCATCGTAATCATGTTGCCGTGCGCGGTTGAGCGTCCAGGCAGCAATAACGAGAGCTGTCTCGGACAAGCGGATCTGACTGTCACGGTAGATCTTCGCATGTGTCTGTTTGATGTTTTCGGGATTTCCCAGGCCTTCCGATGAAGACCTCAACTTCACAATGTGTGTGATTAATTCAATGATTATCTGACTGAGAGCGGCTAGAATCGTCCGCGAGTTGCCATATGCATCTGAGATTCGGATGTCCTGCTCGGTGATTTCAAGGGTCTCTAGCTCCCTGTTATTCGCGCCAAGTACGGAAACGGCATTGAAAAGGGCTGGCGAGAAGATCGAATGTTCCATGGCAGTGTCTGGTGCGAGAAGAGGATAGAAGATATTGAACACGTAGTAATGATTCTCTGTGGCCCTGGGTCGCTCGGGATACATTTGTTGCTGATAGGATCTGGCTTGGTCGAGAGGGCTACCTGGAGGTTCTCGCAAGCTGACGATCCGATAGTCGCATGGATTGTCTGGAAGGCAAAAGCCATAGTTCATCATCACTGGGATGAGATTAGTTTCCAATCTGTTATATGGTCATTCCACCTGCGACTTACACTGTTCGTTATTGCGAGGCCCGTAATTATTCGAGATTTCCTGCCCAGAGGCAACGTCTTCCAGCACAACAAAGGCTACATCTTGCTTCCCAGCACGCCATTCTACCTTTGCAAGAGGCCGATGGTTCATCAAGTCAATGCAGGGCAGGAGCACTGACACACCATCTTCAGGCAGCTCCACATCAGTAACTGCCTCGGCAAGCACCTTGGCTGAAAACGCCCGCGACACGAGAATGGACGAAGACCAGAGATAGAGGTCCCTATCGTGGGTTCCGTTAATACACCTTTTTGCCGGGCAGCGCCGAGTAACTTGAATCAAATAGAGAAGGGAGGTGTCCAACAGTCTACACATACCATGTGTACCGAACAACATCCTGGAAGCCCGCCTTCCGAAGCTCAGCAATCCCATTCTCGTACTTCTCCTTCCATACCCCCATTCTCTGCTCTCTAGCCGGCGCCAGGCTCGTCCCGTCCAACCACCGCAGATCATCCCCCTCATAATACAACGGCGTAGTCAGGGAGAGTGGCTGAGGAAGCGTTCGAATATACGGGAACCAGAACCCTTCTGAGCCCCTCAGATACTGACCAATCAAGAAGAAAATAGAAGACTCATGGGGCCCAACAGCATCGACGAAATCGCGCGGAAGCTGCACACCATGAACAGAGAAAGTGGCCGTCCCATTGCCTTGCTTGTCGGTGGGAAGAGGATGCTCGACCACGTTGAGGTATGACATGGTTGCAGCTACTGGGATCTTGATGATATGCGTGTCCTTTGCGACACCATCTTTCCAGTCTTTCTTGACATTGAAATGGACACCTCGTTGTTCGTCTTTGGCGATCTGAACACTTTCGTGCAGGTAGCCGCCATTACTGGTCATCCATTCCACGAGAGTGATCCATTTCTCCAGGTCCTCGTCCCCAGTTGATCTAGACGCTTTCATTAGACATAGTGACAAAGATTGTGAGATCTGAATGCGAAACTAAGAGAGATAATGAAAGAATGTGTCTCATCGAAATGCGAAGGCGGAAGAGCGAGAGTGCGCTATCAAGAATAGAGCCATCCAGCTTCCTACTTCCCCTTCAAACCGAAGTTATAGGATTGTATACAAATATGTGAGGCCATCGCGAGAAAGATTTTATGCAACATAGCAAAACACAAGGATTCGAGCTTTCAACCTACCCCGGTGGCAGCAACGCCGAACGATTACCACTGTCCGTCATGGTGCGCAAACCAACTAGCGACTCTTTCCCTGTCTACCAGACTAGGCAGCCCTCGCGACGCTCGCAGCTGTTCTCAAAGAAAAGACTAAGAACGTGGCGACGTGGATGATGAACACAGAGAGCTCATACAATTAATTGTTCGGAGGGGCAATTTTGGGATGATGAAATGCGGTGTCCCACTTTTTTCGGGCGTCTCAGTCATGGAAGCAAGCCAACAACAGCTAGTAGATAGGTATAGACATGACGGCGAGAATTGATTGCTCTACAATGCATACTCATAATCTTGGATTCTAGAAGTTTGTTTTTTAGTTCTTTAGCCCTATAGTCGTCAAACATAGAGTGTCAACTTTTGACAATATACTCCGCAAAAAACAATGAATTGATTCCGCTGGATTATCGTACAAAGTCCAGTAAAGAGAAGAAACGAAAAGACAGCAGGCTATATCAACAAACATAGAGGCATTTAAGTGAGAAGAGAAACGCCGGTAATGTTGCGCTTGCGACCACACTGGTCAGTCGCTAGAAGCAGATATCACCGTTCAGAACAGCGCACGGCCACATGGAGGTAATCTTAATGCCAAGATCTTCCTGTTTAGAGAAGGCCATCTCTATTCCGCTCTCGACAGTATACAAGGTCATGCACATTCAGATAGTGTACATCGTCATGAAAAAAAGAAAGAAAGAAAAAAGTCCATGCGTCCCAGAATGCCAAACACAATCACCGCCAGGAAATGAAATGCAGAGCAAACCAGCGCAGACAGCAAACTCTAGAGGACAATCTTGGCAATATCCACCCGTGGCAGTCAAGTCGTGGAAGACTTTCTCCCAGGAACTAAGATTTCGACCAGTCCATCATCTTCTCCGTCACTGCTGTCATTGTCATCGTCGTCCCCGAAAGGAGACGGGCCGAACTGTGATCTTCGAAAGCTTCTGTAGCGGCCAGGCCCGAGATCTGGGTATCCTAAAGATTCGTTCATGATAGCTTCGTCCTCTTCATCTGAGTCGAGCATTTCAGAACCAAGTGAGGGACCGACCATCTCGCCCATGTCATCCTCATCGTCATCCACTTCCAAGGGAACACGCTCCTTGCGCCTCATATCTACCCTGCCTTCCCCGTCATCATCGGAGGAATTAGTGGACATCGAATCCGGTGGGCTGAAGCCAGACTCGGGAAAAGTAGGCGATGAGAAAGGCTCGTCCTTGCGCGTATGTGGAAAGTCGCTGGAGGGAAAAGCGGCTCGGGAAGGCGAGTCCGTACCATCTCCGTCATCGTCCAAGCCCGCAATCACAAAAGGGTTGGATGGCCACTGAACATCGCCATTCTCATGCTGGTTAGTCTGATTTTGAGGCTCGTCTTCATTGCCGCCATTTTCGGCAGCATGCTGTTTCTGGGCGGCAAGCCGTGCTGCCAGCTGCCGTCGCGCGCGAGACGGTCCGAGGCTGAGGGGAGCAGGAGGTGGAGGAAGAATTGGTATAGGGTGACTTGTTGAGTTCGTAGATGCCTAATTTCATAACGACGTCAGCAAGTGCTGTTGCTTGTATTACAGCAAAAGCGATAAAGTCAACTATGAAGGCAGGGAGCAAGAGGGTCTGCATGAGTCAAGTCATCCGGGCTAGAACAGTGTCCAGACAGCTGAGTGACTCAGGAAATCGAGAACAAACCCAGAAGTCCACAACCCATCATCGACCATCATTCAGATGCAGCTGGTCCTCTAGAGATGCATGAAATCAAGTTTGTATATCAATGCCTGAAGGAGCAGCCAAAGGGCTAAATATCCGACTAGACCATCTGTTCAGACGGGTGCCGCAGGACCTCGGAGGATTCATCCCCGAAATGGGTCTGTACATGGACAAGAAGCGCTGAAGATACACGCTCTATGTTTATGTTCCCCAATGACCTCAAATCTCCTTCACCATCAACACCTATGCGGCGCCAGTCTTCATCTACCGTTTGATGAAAGACAAGATTTACCAGGGAGGGGAGGCGGAAATGGAGTAGAAACAGGGGAACGGAGTAATTTGGGGGAGAAGTCAAGTGCGAGCTCTCATGCATCGCTCATGTCAACGTCAGTAAAGAAATCATCACCCACATTTTCAGAACCACCTTCGGCGGATTGTTCAGTTAGGTTTCTGTCGTCTTGTTGCTCCATTTCCTCATCCTCATCGTCGCTGGAGCTTCCGAAGCCGCTCAGCAGAGAGCTGCTGCCGCCACTAAGACCAAAAGCGCCACCAGAAACACTGCCCTGGTTCATGTCGAAATTTTGAAAGCCTGAATTGCTGACGCCGCCATTCAAGCCAGCCTCGGCGAGTGCTGAAGAAGCGTTCATGCTTTGACCTTGATTCAGCAGGCCCTGACGGTGCCCGATAGCCATATCTGGTCGTACACCGCCGAGGATTGCATTATCTCGCTCCCGCGTCTCGGAAAGAGTTTGCTCCACGTAATCGATCCACTCCGGGTTCAAGACGCTTTCCATCACTGTAGGAGAAAGTAGTTCGGGCGGGTGACGCTCGCTGAACTTGACGACTTCTTCCGCAATGAGGGTAAGATGTCCCATGTAACCGAGTCTGATGCGTTGCGTCCGCTGCGCTTCATCGCTTCGTTTTTGTCCAGCAACAATCGCCTGCGTAATGCGCCCTGTTTCGAAAAGATCGATCGCAAGACATCTATTGTATCCGCGGTCCATAGGCCCATTGAAAACTTGCTGAATAACATCATACACAACGTTGTGAAGGAAGTTGTTCCATGGAAAGCGGAAGAAGAAATCCTAGGACACGCAGAGTCAGATTCCGAGTCATTGCCTATGTCGCCGCGGGCTAACTTACCAGTATCGTGGGTACGACCTGATTCTTCACAAACATAATTTTTAGATAATCACCAACAACAGGCTGGCCGTTCGGATCGAGCTGAACGTAGGAATTGATGTGCGCCCGCACGTCTTCAGCATCGGTGTTTGAGGGCACCGATTCTGATCCAGGGTCCGCGGAATCTTGAGCATTCCCGACCTGGCCAGCAGTATCAGGCGTTGAAGCTACTGATTCCTTATCCTGTTGTGTTTTGGAGAACAGAGGTGCTGGTACGGCTTCGGGTTCGGACGACATTTGTGCAGCAGAGGGCGTATCCGAGTCATTGTAGGGGAGAGTCTCAAACTTTCCGACATCTTCCTGGGCCGTGGTTTCCTCGGAGGCCCGTTGGTCTCCCAAATCCATTGCGTTGAGTTGGTCTGTTAAGTCAGACACCGTAGGCGGGAGATCCTTGTCGGAGCTGTTTCCTTCTTTTGTGGCCATTTCAGCCTCGGCATGATCATTGGCTTCGCCGGCATCTTTTGCTTCGTCATTCATCGTGGCTGATGTTCTCGGTTCATCATCCACTTCCGGCTCCGTCTGCGGGGTATCAGGCTCCTTTTTCTCGGCAGGTTTCTCCTTGTCGACCAGGACGCCAGAAGAATCGACATCCTCGAAGCCATCCTCACCAGCGTTCAAAATTTCAAGGGCTCGAGAATCCTCAGGGGAACCGGAGTCGATAACAGAACCATTGATAAAGTCTGCGGTGGAATCGTTGCCTTCGAGAGCAGAGGACTCTTTGTGCGGATTGAAGGCGCCTTCGCGGAACAGTCTCTCTCGTTCAGCATCGCGTTGGCGGACATACTCATCACTTCCGGGTTCGTTCAGAAGACCCATGTTACTGCAGTGCAACAGCTCTGCCATCAATTCACATGTCTTGAAACGGTCAAAGCCGAGAGGCTCAATTTTAGCGCCCCAAGCAGAGCTGAGCTGTCCTCTCTCCACGCTTCGTACTTTTCCATTGTCATTGATCGTATGCTTGGAGCTTCGAATTAGTGCCATAAAGTCAGGTATATGTTTGGCAAAAATCCGTAGCAGGTTACCCAGATAGATAGGGTCGTATGTCGTAGGAGGCGAATCAGGACCACCGATGTTCTCTGGGTCGTAATCCGAGTTATTTTTCCGGATAACTTCAATTACGATACCAACGCCCACTGTCAACGGGTTTCCACCTTGCAACATGGCCGTGATTAGAGTCTCTACACAGTGCGCGGAGACAAGCTGGCGAGTGAGACTATTGGGTCCAATGCAGGATTGGTCGTTCTGAGTCGCATTTGCCGAAATAGTGATAATGGCCTTGAGGAAGTCTCCCGCAGAAGTTTGCACGGAGGCCGGATGCTCTGGGGTTAAGAAGGACAAAAGAATAGGGATCAGGTTCTGTGTTTTCAGCCACTGCGATGGGTGTCAGTCTCGACTTCAAAAAGCAGGGGACTAGTTTCTGATTAACACACATCCACAATTCCTTGGCCTCCTTCGGCCTTCTCCAGACTGATAATCTTCAACAACAGGTCCATGACCATGGGATTGTCGACATGCTGGAGGATCGCCGGAACAATACCGTCCAAAGACTTGAAGAACTCCAGCATCTCACTGGTCTTTCGATCAAACAACGTTTCGTTGACTTTCGTAAAGTAACCTGCCTGAATAGGGTCCAAAGACGGTCGCCTCCGCACAAAGCCCCAAAAGTCGCGCAGGTAGCTTGTGTTCGCCATTATTGACTCCAATATCGACCATGTTTCAGACGAGAGAATTTCGCACGCGATGTACGCATGCTTCAAACGGTTCTTCTCAGCTCGGTCCAGATCTTCAGGATCCAATATCTCCTTCAGCGGGTCGACTTTCTTCTCTCCTTCGGTTGAAGCATCTTTATTCGTTTGAGGGGCATTAGAGTCGTTCGAATCGTCCTCGTCATCATCATCATCCTCGTTCACCAGGCTGGGTGCAATCACGTAGTCCATAAGGCGTTTCAAGACATTATCTTCTCGTAGATATTCTATGAGTTTCGTATTATGTTGCTTGAGCTCCTGGATCAACTCTGACTCGTCCAACAGCTCTTCGAGACTGACATCAGGCTTGTCGAGCAGGGTATCAATGGTGGAGACACTCGCGTATCCCCCGAAGCGCCAAAACATCTTGAACTATAGATCCGAGAGAAAATCGTCATGGAAAACAAGTAAGGTATCACAAGCACACTTTTGTTCTTGGTTTGATCCGCTCCGAGAGTCGTAACGGAGACGTCTAAATGATACAGCGCAACGAGTAAGAAATGCCGATTGGTCCAATGCACGGAAGTAATACCTGCTAGATTAGAATGTCTCCAAAACAGGTCGATTCGTGAGATTTATCTCAAGGGAAGGAGATGACAATAGTTGCGAAATGAATACGGTCGGAGCGGCCAAGCGCTGCGCGTCGGAACTCAGTAAGTCAGCAATCATTCACTAGCTAGAGCATGATGAAGCAGCTGAATATGATGCAAAATCAGGGCGTAGCATAGTAATCGTAGCCTTTGGGTGTCATTCAATCTGAGGAGGGGAAAGGGACACTAAGGGATAACAGTAAGGGGAGGCTGGCGGGAAGGAGGCAAATCCGCCAGGTAAAAGACGAGATAGCAATGCAACATGACAATGGAATGAGAGCCTAATGATTCATACCTTCAGGACCTTATAATAAGTGAGTGACGAAGAAAGAGAAGGCGGTGCCAGACTCCTTGTGGGAGTGTTTTGCAGGACCGGCGGAAGTCAATCGAGTCCGTGTTCCCTTGCGAGGCACAGGAACCTGTTGCACAGGCGAGACCAGTCGGTCAAGTTGGTAGGAGAATCAACCGTCGGTGGTCGTCAGGGTACTGATGTAGACGGTCAATAGAGGACAGAGTCACAGCTGACGTTCAAGGATCACGTCGACGTGCTGCGCTGGCGGCTGCGTCTGGATCGGCCGGCAACTTTGATCCCTGGAGGGCTGATGAACCAGGCTGAGCGGAAATACCCAACAAGATCCGACAAGCGGCGGCGGGGAAATTCCACGCGACCTCTAGGCGAGAGATGGAGGGGGAAGGAGAAAAGAAGAGCTGGAAAATGTGACAGATCGTTTCAGGATGGTTTTGAAGTGTATAAACTTTATGATGATAAGAAGAATGAAATCATATTTTCTATGTTCAGGTGTACTCCGAAGTATATGAGTCGATGTTCATGACATTTATTTGGACTCGTCCTCTTCCTTTTGACGATGGAGAAAAGTCGGTGCTTTTGATGCGCTGCGACCTGAACAATCTCACAATACTCAGTAGTCGCTTGCTGAGTACAGTCGTATATGACTATTGCAATGGGCAAATTGATGAATATAGCTCAGGTACCGCAATGGGACAGCTAAGTGTTAAATACTTCGAAGTCAAGCAGGTCTCCGAGATTACGTCCCACTGAGGTCGATGGACAAGGACTTTAAAGGGACCATCCACCCACACAGACAATAATCAACATGGTCACACGTGCTATAACCCGCCAACTATTACGAGATACCAGGTGATAAGCGAAACTCTTTAGCAAGGATGATCGATACTACTCTGATTGGAGTGGATGGCTTAATTGCTGTCAGATGATGGTTATTCCGTAGGTTAATGGGCTCCAAAAGAGTAAAGTGCGGAGCCTTATTTGTTATGGAATCTGACGAACTGATGAGCCCATCACGTGTCTATATCGTTAATCAGAGATGCCGGATTCAGGAAACCATACTCATGAAATCCAATTCTAATAAACCAATTAGTATAACAGGAAATGGAGGTTTTCTATTAAATTCTACTAAGGTATTGACAGTCCCAAGACCTCTGTATGATCTCCGTTGCCAGCCTAGGGCATCTTCCCGCATCTTTAGGCGGCAACCGCCCCTGCCACTATCAACGGGCGCTGATCCCCGTCCCTACATCACTCCGCACTGTACTTTCTACCCTATCTCATACTTGACAGACAACCTCAAGAAAGATGAATCGACTATTTGGAACCAAAAACACGGCTCCCAAGCCAACGCTTGACGATGCGATCTCCAAAGTATGTACCCTCCCGACTGTCTCTAACCAGCCTCTCAACCTCTCCCCGCATGAACTAACACCCCGCCGTGACAAAGGTGGACAACCGCGTCGCGAGCATCGACGTAAAACTAGCCTCTCTCAACGCTGAGCTCTCAACCTACCAAGCCAAAATCGCCAAGATGCGCGACGGACCAGGCAAGAACGCCCTTCGCCAGAAGGCACTCAAGGTCCTGCAGCGCCGGAAACAGTACGAAGCGCAACGGGACCAGCTATCCCAGCAATCCTGGAACATGGAACAGGCAGGGATGATGCAGGATAACTTGAAGAACGTGATGACGACCGTTGACGCGATGAAGACGACGACCAAGGAGCTGAAGAAGCAGTATGGCAAGGTCGACATAGACAAGATCGAGCGTATGCAGGATGAGATGGCCGATCTGATGGATATCGGCAATGAGATCCAGGAGAGTATTTCGCGAGCGTATGATATTCCCGAGGATGTGGATGAGGCAGAGCTCGATGCGGAGTTGGAGGCGCTGGGTGAGGAGTCCATGTTTGAAAGTGCGATGGGCGAGAGTGCCATGCCTAGTTTCATGCAGGATGAGGTGGCGCCGCCGCAATTTATCGACGAGCCTCCGGAACAAGCCAAGGTCAAGGAGCCTGCTGGTGGTCTGGGCTAATACATGAGTGCATTGACGATTGATGTTCTGGAGCATGAAAGCACTGGCGTTTTGGGAATGTTGATTTCATTTGTATGTTTCTCTGTGCTCTACGAGACGCTCTCGATTGCGCTCCTCCCGAGTCCATCTCTCTGTTCTATAACTCTTGGGAAGGTATCCCGAAATCTGCGTCGAAGTCTAAGTCTTAAGTCTAAGTCTAATATCATGTAAGTCAAGGCAACGGTCAATTTTGTATCAGGTCTTGCCCAATCCGACAAGAACCAGCAACGCCACGTTCATTACCGCGATCACCAACCAGATCAGGATGGCTAGAGCAGTAACCAGAAAGTTATTTCGCATTTTGACTCCTTCGGACGGAATGTCCGCCTCGTCTCCACCAATGCGATCAGCTGGCACGGTCATATAACGGTTGCGACAGGTGAAATAGATCAACGGCGCCGACACAAAGGGTAGAATCACGCTCAGTACTACTTGACTGGCGGTAAGAGTTTTGTCTAACCCATCCTTTCCCACGGCTGCTGCGATGATGATACTGGGAATGATACTGATGGATCGAGTAATGAGTCTGCGAAGCCAGGGCCTGACGGTCCATTTCAGCATCCCCTCGCTCACCATCTGACCCGCCATAGTGCACACAATCCCGGCGGAAATGCCCGACAGGAGCAGTGCCAGTGCAAAGATCAAGCCGGCAGCCGGGGCTATGGAACTGGATAGTAAGTCGTGAATTCCCCAAAGGTCAGCGTCGTCAGCGCCGGAACTCCCGTATAGAGAGGCACCGGCAACTATCAAGATGGAACTGTTTACAAAAAGAGCAAAGGTGAAAAGCGACAGCGATAACTCGATGATTGAGTACTTCATGCAGCCTCGGATGGCGTGGATAGACGGCCTGTACTCGACCTTCCCGTCAGTGCTTCCAAGACAGACGGCCGGGTCCACATAGCCCTTTGTGACATCGAACTCCTTCAATCGCGGCTGGACAACACCACTGCCAAGAAATATTGAGTGAGGCATGACCGTAGCACCGAGAATTCCGCAGCTCTGGTACAAACTGGACGGAAAATAGCTTCAGTCAGTGCCATAGACCTTAACATAGTTTGCGCGGGAATCCACTCACCCCTTGGACTGTACTATGGCAGAAGATGGTAAATAGCCTCTGAACACATCGCCAACGGATTGTTCTTTGATAAGAGAAAGCTGTATACAGAAGCATATCACCACCCCCAGGACCAATGCCATAACAAAGTATTCAAAAAGTCGCAGCCCCCAGATGGATCCGTTGGGTCTATAGAAAATGAGAAGGAAGAGAACATCGGCGAGCGTGATCGCACATCCAGCGACCAGCGGAATTTTAAGAAGGAGGTTGAGAGCGATAGCTGAACCTACGACCTAGACATAAGATCCGTCAGGGCTTGGAGAGTGAAAGGACGTACAATTGAGTAGGAAGGCCATACCTCGGCAATGTCAGTCGCGACAATGGCGGCTTCTGACAAAAAGTACAGAATGTACACCAACCATTTAGGAAGATGTTCCCTACAATTCTCCGCCAGGTTGAGACCGGTCACACTTCCAAGCTTGATACACAAAGACTGCAAGAAAATGGCGAAGAGATTGGACAGCAGGACAATGAAAAGCAGCGCATATCGGAACTCTGCACCAGCAGCCACATCGGTGGCATAATTTCCGGGATCAATGTAAGCAACAGCAATCAAGAACCCGGGGCCCACGAAGCGAGCAAACTTGGCAAGACTCTGCCCGACATGGAGAACATGGGAGGTGAGTATTGAAGTAAAATCTGAATGACGGCGGGGTGATCCGCTGTGACTCCGGGGATTGTCGTCCCCAGAGGCAGCAGCGATCACTCCGCCTAGCGTCTTCGTCTCCACGATTTCGGATTCGGTACGGTCTTGACTGTGTGGCTGGGAGTCTGTCTCCATGATGCCTTCTCCTGAGACGCCTCCCATTCCTGACGCATGCCTCCGGTGTACCTTGGAGTTGGCAATGCCATTGAGATCATTTCGAGTAGTTATATCTGCATTCAACGCGGGAGGATTCTGGTTCCAGCCCGGATGCTCAAGAGTGTCGTCGGTTCGTGAGGGACAATTCATCGCTGGGCCGTGGTGCAGATCGTGCAGGCATCAGACCAATTGCGGATGCAAGATTAAGTATGCTTGACGCTCGTGCTTGGATATCGAAAGTGATTTGTCTCACAAAGGAATCTAGAATTGTCGGATATACGTCGGAATCAAAGCTGAGGACCTGCGGGGAAGAAAGCCCGAAACTGCCCGATTGCGGTTGTTCGCTGTAGACAAATGCGCATCAATATCCTACATCCACGAGGTTGACGCATAGAAAAGATCAGAGGGATCAGCAGGATACAGCGAAGAATTTGGAATTCCTCGACACAAAAAGATAGATAAAACTACGGCGTAAGGTAAGGTCAACGATGACGGCATGGTGGCCTAGCGTTTGGATCAGATTTTTTAGTAATGTCCGTCAGTTCCATACTAGGAATAATAAGGTTAAGGTCAAGCACAGAAATCATGAGTCCCGATGCAACAAAGTAAGATGGACCAAATATGCGGAAGACTGATCCGACTGCACTTAGTTGATATATCGATGGTACATATGTAGTGGATAAAGATGATTAGTACTACAATGAGGGGAAGAAGTAGTAAGTAAGAGATCTACCACCATTGAGCCACCCCCGCGAACCAGAAGATCGCACCGATGAAGCCTTGCCTTGGCGTCCGCATGTGGTTTTTTCTAAACTGAGCGGTATCTACTCCGTACCATCACCTATCTATCTCCTTACGCGCAGTGATTTGCACAACAAAAGAGTCAAGCATTGAGATCAAAATCTAGAACATTGAGACTTGTGACTGGATTGGTGATGAGGTCAAAGAACGCTTGAATTATTAAATATCATATTTAGTGGTGGTGACGCTATAGGATATCATCAGTCTCAAGATACCGTCATCAGCTAGATGAACTTATCGATAGATCATAACAAAATGACGACAGTCTCCAGTAACCTCGAGTGTATCTAGGTGGTTGGGAATAAGACAAACAATTATTGATCAATAATCGATCATCATCTACATCATTACAATTCTACCTACCTTGGTTTGTCCAGTACTTCGATATATTACTCCGTATTGATAAGTATCTCTCCCCTCATGGTTGCCCCAGCAACCTCACTGCCATTCTCTGTTTACTCCCTCTACCACCCTCGATTCCAGCCACTGTGCAACGGTGTTGGTGGATAAAGTTGGTGGATGAATGCTGCATGCGCCCGTTGGTCATCTTTTCGACTCATCCGAGACTCTGCTCACTTCCGGGACTATCCACCTGGTGATCATTCGCTGTGCCGTGCTGGGTCTCGCTGTTCTTTGGATGCGCCTGCTTTTTATTACTTCCTGCTGTCTGCCCCCGTCGAGTCCTGACTTCAAGCAGATCTCAACCTGCTCGCCAATGTCTTGCTTTTTTCCATCTTGCTGTGTCTTCCTTCTTGCTTGCAAATTGTGATTTGTCGTTCTTGCTCTTGTGCTTTGTTGTGCAAATTGCCATTTGAATTGTTACATTACTTCTTCTCACCTGCCACCGGAGCATCTTCTCACCGTAAGTGTCCTCGCGTCTACCCGTCCCAGTAGAAGTTCATCTTTGCATAATTTATTTGCAACATCGCTGACGCTTGTCGTTATGCTTTTGGTTAGTTTCTGGTCAAAGGCGATAGAAATGGCTCCCAACATGCACTCCCCCGAGATCTTCGATGATGCCACCCGAAGTCCTACCAAACTTGGGTTCCGAGCGATTCTCTCCAAAGCTCATAGACGAAATCAATCTGCAGATGATGCTATCCCTCCCAAGATTTTCCCCAGGTCCACACCGGCGGAAAGCGCGTCTTGGTCCCCAGCCGACCAGGCCTACCCTGCCCTAAACCAACATCCGCTGGGCGAAAGAGCCCACAACCGTGATGCGGCAGATGGCACTTCATTCCAGCAGAAGCCGTCTGAAAAGACAGGAAAAGCGGGTTTGCACAAGAAAACGAAGAGTACCGTGTCACTGAAATCGTTGAGAAACTACATGGAACGCAAGGAAAATAAAGCCAGCAGTGCGCCGGAGGACGAGTCGTTGGGTTGGAAGCCTAAGAAGGCAAAGTCGGCAAACAGCCTCAGTGCCATCTTGAAACGATCCCAGCGGGGACGGAAGGCCGAAGGTTCAAAAGACGTACGGGACAAAGAAAATCGAAGCCCCTCTGATCTGGTGGACAGCATGCCATGTCCTGTCTGGAACCCGTACGGGTCCGACTCCTTCCACAACCAGGCTGGAGTGCCACAGTCACCAAATAAGCGCCGAACATTGCAAGAAGAAGTTTCGCTGTACACACCCAAAGGCTATGGCCCAGCGCAACAGCGAAATTTCTATGATCACCATCAGCCCTCTCTCGCTAATCGCTCTGAAGCCAAGCCTCGTCCGAAATCTGATAATCTTTCAGGAAATCGAAAGTTAAGGGATGCACTGGGTAGTATCCAAACAGTGTCATTTGACAAACCAATTGCGGTTGATCAGCCTGAGACTGAGTCCCAGCGAGGCCAAGGAAGACCTCGTATGTCAAGGTCCGAATCGCACCCAGAGCCTGAGACGAAGCCGGATGCGAGCCCGAAGAAACCATCGCGCGTGCAGGCGGCAATCTCTGCCTTCAATGCGAAGGAGAAAGAAGCAGAAGTGCAACGACGCTTGAACCCGAAGGACCTGGAAAGCGAATTCGAGAAGCTGCTTGTGAGTTTGCCTAACTACGAAGGACTACTCTCGTCCGGGACGCAGATGCTGACTGGTCACATAGGATGCGCGGAACATTCCCCACAATATGAGGGACAAAATGAGGGCGTTGGACACTAGCATCAAGGCTGACTTTATTCAAAAGGATAGAGCAGAGAACAACACCCCACAGAGCGCGGTTCCGTCCTCGGCCACTGATAGCACTGGTCGCCGGGGTCGCAAAAGCGAGTCGAAGGATGAGCGTCAGAGCCATGACGGAAAAGGGTCCCGATCAAGGTCCAGGAGTCGCGGCTTTACCTTTTCTAAAGGCGCCTCCTCACCTGGGAAGAAGCAGCGGCCTGAAAGTGGCAGTTTCTATCGGCGCCCAAAGTCTGTTGATTTGTCCCAACCGGCGAGTCTCGCAAAAATCCTGACACCAGCAACGTCCACCGTCTCTCTCTCCGCCACAGCCAGTCGCGACACTGCTGCCGATCCATCGGACTTTGTCCACTATCTACGCGAGATACAGAAGCCCGAGATGATCGAGATTGGTAAGATACACAAGCTTCGTATCCTATTGCGCAATGAGACGGTCAGCTGGGTTGATACGTTCATTGCCGATGGCGGTATGGACGAAATTGTCCAGTTGCTTTACAGGATAATGAAAGTTGAATGGCGGTACGTTTGTGCGGCCCAGTCTGATGACTCTATGCCCAAATACTGATTACTTCGTCAGGGAGGAACATGAGGACACCTTGCTTCATGAAACCCTTTTGTGCCTGAAGGCTCTTTGCACAACCTCTGTCGCATTGAAGCACCTGACCAAAATTGAAGCCGAACTCTTCCCAGCATTGTTGAAGATGCTGTTCGATGAGGAAAAGAAAGGACCGAGCGAATACACCACTCGCAGCATCATCATGAACCTCCTTTTTACTCAGCTTGCTACAGCCTCCTCCGACGAGATGGCAACAGCATGCGCCTCACGAATCCTTTCCTACTTGCAGGATCCAAGTCCCCCGGAAGAAAACCAACCGCTCTCGTTCATTGCCAGTATCTACCAGTCTCGTCCTTACCGAGTGTGGTGTAAGGAAGTCAGCAACGTCACCAAAGAGGTGTTTTGGATTTTTCTTCATCATCTCAATGTCATACCCATCGCCAAGTCCGACAAATCGCCATCAGAACTGGAGCAACAGACGTTCCGAGAGCGTCATTTTCCGGCACCTAGACCGCCTGTTCCCGCTGCGCCGTATGTAGGTGGGGTTGAATGGGATGCCACCAACTATCTCGCAGCGCATCTTGACCTCATCAACGGCCTTATTGCATGTATGCCGTCTCTCGAAGAACGTAACAAGTTGCGTTCAGAACTCCGTGCTTCTGGGTTTGAAAAGGTAATGGGCGGTAGTCTGAGAACATGCAAGGAGAAATTTTACTCCTCCATCCACGATTGTCTCCGGACGTGGACTGCAGCTGCGGTTGAGGATGGATGGCCCTACACATTTGTTCGGGAGGGTCCGCCTCGACCAGAACCTGGATCTCCTGTTAAGTCCCCAGTCAAAGCTGGTGGTAACCCTAAGGGTATCCTTGACGAAAAGCCTCCCAGGCTGGAGCTTGCACTGGACCTACCTTCCAACAATCGAGTTTCTCAGAAGGGGGACAACCTGGGCAATTGGCTGTGACAAGCTCATTTGGTATTACGGCATGCCAATTCATACTTGCGGCGAATCTGCTTTCGTGAGTTTTGATGTCTAGATTCAGTAACTCATCGACTTTCTCCGTGAAGTCAACTCCATCATGCGATCATGACCCGGCGTTCTAGGTCCTGCTTTTCTGTTGCTGTTACTCTCTGCTGCCATTTTTCCCCTCTCGAGCACTCCCGTCACTCGTTCTCCTTCATCTGGGCTTGCTGATTTTGTCTTATTGGAGTAATTGGATATTAAACGGCGTTGGCATTTCTTTGGCGTTTTGGGCACATCTTTCAGCTGAACTACGGCCATGGCGACACGACCTTTAATGAAGCAACAGGGCCAACATGATGAGATTTCTCCTTTTTCCTTTTCAAACATTTTCAGACGACAGTCAGCTCTTATGAATTTGTTTTCTTTTGGACGTGCAACTCGTAGTTCAGATTGACACTGACCAAGTCAGAGCAGGATAGCGGAGGTTCCAAGCTTGTCAGGTTAGGGAGTTGCCCTGCTTTGGTAGTCTTTGCAGATAGTACATTGATTCATGCATATGGTACAATTATTATATACAGCAGCCTTAGATTGATCATCGACTTTGGACACGCGGGTCTTCTATGGTGATGTCTATTCCTGAGTAGTATCGTCAGCTCTCCTGACAGGGCGTG